CTGGGAGAGGGTGAGTAAAACTCATCTCATTCCAACCTCCTGCCATGGGCAGGGAACCTTCCATGAGCCCAGCTTGTCCTCCTTCTGTCACTGATGAGGAACGAGCCTTTTGGGTAAAACTCATCTCATTCCAACCTCCTGCCACGGGCAGGGAACCTTCCATGAGCCCAGCTTGTCCTCCTCCTGTCACTGATGAGGAACGAGCCTTTTGGCTCCATCTTGGAGCATTCCAAATCTTAGGAATCTGGTGATGCCCTGAAAGGTGGTGCTTTGGATAAAGGGATTCCTTCTTTCCCGTGGTGCAGGGGAGTTTGGATCCGTGATGGAGGGACGGCTCAGCCAGCCCGAAGGGCCCCCACAGAAGGTGGCTGTGAAGACCATGAAGTGTAAGTTGTCTCTTTGCCCCACTGGATCTCTCTCAGGAACGGCATCCTGGCACCATTTTGGGGTACTAAAGCTCTTTCTTTCTCTCTGCTTCCCAGTGGATAACTTTTCCCAAAGGGAGATTGAAGAGTTCCTCAGCGAGGCAGCGTGCATGAAGGACTTTGACCATCCCAATGTCATCAAGCTCCTTGGTATGGGCTGCCCCTTCCCACCCTCCAGCTGGGATTTGGGTGGATCCTTTTCCCAGGGCACTGTGTGAGTTGTCCATGTTTCCCAGGGGTGTGCATCGAGCTGAGCTCCCTGCAGGTGCCCAAGCCCATGGTGATCCTGCCATTCATGAAGTACGGAGACCTGCACAGCTTCCTGCTCCGCTCCCGGCTGGAAATGGCCCCCCAGGTAGGGAGCACCAGGAGCAGAGGAATGGGGTGGGATCAAGGTGGGAAGGGAATCCCCCTCTGCAGCTCCTGCAGGCTCGTGTGTCAATGAATGGCAGGGTCTGAGGGATGAGAGCTCGTCTGCTGCCATGGGCTCATCCATTGGGATGGCAGCCCTGGATAGGGAAGCCTTTTGGATCAGCACTGTGTAACCCCCACCTTCCCTCCCCAGTTTGTGCCCCTGCAGACCCTGGTGAAGTTCATGGTGGACATCGCCCTGGGCATGGAATACCTGAGCAGTCGGAACTTCCTGCACAGGGACTTGGCAGCTCGAAACTGCATGTGAGTGTTTTCCTCTGCCCCATCCCGCGGGATGAACACTGCGGATTTACAGCACAACTCTGCTCCTTTCCATAAAAGTTCCCTTGGTTCTGAGACCCAGAGCTCAGCCTGGGGTCCGTGTGCTCATCCCTGGGGCTGTGCTGATCCCTGTTTTCCCCCAGGCTGCGGGATGACATGACGGTGTGCGTGGCAGACTTCGGGCTCTCCAAGAAGATCTACAGTGGCGATTACTACCGGCAGGGCCGCATCGCCAAGATGCCCGTCAAGTGGATCGCCCTCGAGTCCCTGGCTGACCGTGTCTACACCACCAAGAGTGATGTGGTAGGTCCCTGTGCCTGGAGGGATGGTCCCCTGGGCTGAGCCACGCCGTGCCCCTGTTGGTGTCATTCCCTGGAAGTGCAGGGGGCTGCCAGAGCCAGCGCAGTCGGTTCCTTGAGTAGGCCCCTCGTTTCCATCCTGGTCATTGCAGTTTTGGGAGCACCACAGCTCTGCCCGTTGTCTCTTGGATGCCAGGCAGTGACCTTTCCCCATGAAAAGCTTCATTCCATTCATTCCTCCTGGAAGTGTCCCTTCAGCCCTTTTCCCTTTGTGCCGGCAGTGGGCATTTGGCGTCACCATGTGGGAGATTGCCACGCGCGGGATGACGCCGTACCCAGGGGTGCAGAACCACGAAATCTACGAGTATCTCTACCATGGGCAGCGCCTGAAGAAGCCTGAGGATTGCCTGGATGAGCTGTGAGTCCTGGGATCCCAGCTGGGAAAATGGATTTTCCTAGGAACAAACCCCTTAATGTTTGCACAATGTGTCTAAGGAAAGCTGGATCCTGGAGCAGAGCATGTGCCAGCATCTGCTGAACTCCAGGCAAAAATCCCAACAAATATCCTCAGGGGAAGCAATGGGTTTGTAGGGCTGGCAAGGTCACCAGGAACAGTCAGTGATAGGACTTTTTGGTATTTTATTAATTTTTGGATTTGTTTTGGCCAAAAAGCTCCTGGCTGGTGATGCTCCTCTTTGTTCCACAAAACTCCCTCTAGTTCCCTTCCTTGCCTCAAATCTATAAATCTGTGTCCCCCTGGAAAGGGAAAATGCAGAATACAAACCTTTGGATTTCTGAGCAGCTCAGCAAAGGCCTTTCTCCCAGGCTTCTTTCCTGAGTTTTTCTCCAGTGCTGTTAGAGCTGAGAATGTTTAAGCCCTCATGGCTGAGAGCTTCGAATCCCAACTGGGTAGACAGAGTTGTACATTCCTAAAAGGCTCCTCTCCACGGCCTGTTCCTGAAGGAAGCAGTGCAGGAACCTCTACGAATCCAGACTGCTGGAGGGCAGAGAGGCTGGCAGGGCCATGCTGGGAGCTTCCAGGGCTCCCTGACATCCAGCCTGGGAGCAGGCACCTGCCAAGGGAAGGACTGGGCATCCCACACACGGAGCTGGGATGTTCCCAGGGAACAGATCCCAGGGCTGCACTGGAAGAGACTTCTCACAAACAACAGCTTGGGCTGATAAATCCATGCCCTTGGGAAACAGCCTGAGCAGAGGGAGTTGGTTTCACTTTGATTTAATGGGAATTTCAAGGTTTGCCCAGCTTGGAGGGAAACCGGGAATTAACCCCCATACCTCCCCTAATCCAGAGGAGTGCAGGCTGCCCGGAGAAGCTGTGGCTGCTCCATCCCTGGAAGTGTTCAAGGACAGCTTGGAGCTACCTGGGACGGTGGAAGGTGCCCCTGCAGGGACTGGATGAGATTTAAGGTCCCTTCCAAACCAAACCATTCTGGGATCCTCTGTTAACCACACTCCTCTCCCGCTTTCCAGGTATGAAATAATGTCTGAGTGCTGGAGAGCCGACCCTGCCACTCGCCCCACCTTCTCCCAGCTCAAAGTCCAGCTGGAGAAGCTGCTGGAAAACCTGCCCAGCTCCAAGGCGTGCGGGGACATCATCTACATCAACACCGGCCTTCCCGAGCAGAGCCCGGACTCCACGCAGGATTCCGGCTTCCCGCAAGCGGACTCGGATTTGGACGCCGGGGAGGCGTCGGAACCCGGCTCCCCCGGGGCTGAGGCGGCGCTGGTGGCTGTGGACGTGCATCCCAGCAAGCTGTGGGACGGCAGGTACATTGTGGAGGAGCAGCTGGCCGGCCCCGTGGAGGAGCCCTACGTGCCACTGCTGCCCTGCCAGGCGCTGGAGCCGGGGAGCCGATGGAGCCAGGCCAGCACTCTGCCGGCGTCGGAGCAGCCTGGGCAGGACTCGGAAGCGCCGCCGGGAGTGGTGTGAGCGGCACCACGGCCAGGACACAGAGGGAATATTTTAATAAACGCTCGTCTCTTTTGTTTATTATCTCCTGCACGGTGGCTGGCTCTACCCAGGAGCTTTTTCCTGGGCTGAAGTCCCAGGGGTTTGGAATTGACAGCGGAATTATTTTGCTGTAGTTATTCATCTTCTCCAGGAGGAGCAGAGCAGGGTGGGGTGGATGGTGCTGAGGGGGCAGCTGGCCTTGCAGGGCCTGGTGTTTTCCCCCTTTTCCATCCCGTGTTAAGGTTTGTGGGATGGGCATTCCCCTGGATGGTGAGTGCTCCAGCTCTACAGGCTGCTGGGGGATTTCACACTGCAAGAGATCCCCATGGAAAACAGCAATGGGAGCTCCAATGGGAACAGTGGGTGCTCCCACATTCCTTTCTTCCTGACAGGTTTCCATCCATCCCATCCCTCCTGCTGCAACACCAGGGAAACAGCAGCCTGAGGAGGTCCCAGGAGGGCTGGAGCCCCCCAGACACAGCCTGGCCTTTCCCTGCTGCCCCTTCTCATTTCAGGGGGAATTCTGCTGCTTCCATAGCTGGAGCTGCTTGGCAGCAACCAGAGCCGGACCCAGCACCTCTTGCCTCTCCTTGGGGGAGACCAGGCTGGGAATGGGGGGACCAGGCTGGGGAGGGGATGCAGGAGTTGGAGAGGGGGGTACTGAACTGGGGGTGGGGGGTGAGGAGCTGGGGAAGGCGTTTTGGGACTGGGGAAAGGGATGCAGTGACTGAGATGGGGAGCAGGAGCTGGGGAAGGCGTTTTGGGACTGGGGAAAGGGATGCAGTGACTGAGATGGGGAGCAGGAGCTGGGGAAGGCGTTTTGGGACTGGGGAAAGGGATGCAGTGACTGAGATGGGGAGCAGGAGCTGGGGAAGGCGTTTTGGGACTGGGGAAAGGGATGCAGTGACTGAGATGGGGAGCAGGAGCTGGGGAAGGCGTTTTGGGACTGGGGAAAGGGATGCAGTGACTGAGATGGGGAGCAGGAGCTGGAAAACGGGGTGCCGAGCTGGGGAGAGGGTGCAGGGCCGCCGGAGCGGGGAGGCTGACAGGGGCTCTTACACGGTGCCCACTTGTCCCGGCAGCTTCAGAAAAAAGCTTTGCTGGGGGAAAAGCCACCTTCCGGCACCCCAGCCGCGGCGGATGGATGCCCGGCCGGTGTCTCCCGGGAGGTGGATGCACAGGGAGCCCGGCCGGTGTCCCGGGGGATGGATGCGCGTTCGGTATCTCCCGGGGGATGGATGCGCGGCCGGTGTCCCGGGGGATGGATGCACAGGGAGCCCGGCCGGTGTCCCGGGGGATGGATGCCCTCGGAGCCCGGCCGGTGTCCCGGGGGATGGATGCACAGGGAGCCCGGCCGATGTCTCCCGGGGGATGGATGCCCGGCCGGTGTCCCGGGGGATGGATACGCGGGGCCGGCCGGTGTCCCGGGGGATGGATGCGCGGGGCCGGCCGGTGTCCCGGGGATGGATGCGCGGGGCCGGCCGGTGTCCCGGGGATGGATGCATAGGGAGCCCGGCCGGTGTCCCGGGGGATGGATGCATAGGGAGCCCGGCCGGTGTCTCCCGGGGGATGGATGCATAGGGAGCCCGGCCGGTGTCTCCCGGGGGATGGATGCGCGGGGCCGGCCCGGCGCCGGGGCGGGGAAGCGCCGCGTCCCCGGCACGGGGCAGCGCGGGGGCGGCGCGGGCGGGGCGGGGAGAGCGCGGGGCAGCCGGTGCCGAGAGCGGCGGGGCCGCACCGCACCATGGCGGGGCCGCGGGGGGCGCGGGGGGCGCGGGGCCGCCTCCCGCCGCTGCTGCTGCTGCTGCTGCCGCTGCTGCTGCCGCCCCCGGCCGCGCCGGCCGCACAGGTGAGCGGGGACCGGGACCCGGGAGGGGCTTTGGGGGCTCCTCTGCGCTTCCCGCTCGCTCCGCGCTGCCCGAGAGCCCCGCGGCGCTGCCCGCGCTCCTGCCCCGGCAAACAGGTGGGCAAAGCCCCAAGCCGCGCTTAAACTGCACATGAGCTCTTTTCGCTGCTTCTGGGCTCTTTTCGCCCTTCTTACCCCACACCTGAAGCTGCCCCCGAGCAAAGAATCCTCGTTTGGGGCTTTTGGGGGGGGATTTTCCAGCTTTGCGATGGCTCAGCATCCCGCCGCAGCTCGCGCTGGCTCTCGGAGCTAAACCCAGCCCTAACAAAGAGCTGTTTATTAAAGCCAGCGACGCGCCAGCATCTATTTGCTTTTGCCTCCCTTCCTCTGGGCTCGTGGCATCCCAGAGCTGCCAGCACAGCCCGGCTCATCCCCCCCGGCAGCCCGGGACCCCCGGACCCGCTCCCGGGGAAGCAGAGGACAGCGAGAGCCTTGCTTGGGCTGCTGTGTTTGCCCTCTCTCAACCCTCAGCAGCTCTTTGGAAACGGGAATCATTCCACAGGGCGGTTATGGAAAGGGGGGAAGAAATCCCTTCGACCAGGTGGGGCAGAGCCCACCACCTCCGCTGGCTTTCCCGGAATTCCATAGCCCCCAGGCCAGTCCCTGTGCGCTCTCTCCCCACATTTCTGAGCTCTGGGAACGGCTTTGCTCTTTTTTCCTCGGTTTGAAGTCAATTCCGCAGGAATCCCATAATAACGGTGCCCGTCTCCGGCATGAGTCAGTCCCGTGGGAGCGATCGGTTTGCAGGCAGGAGTCCCACCAGCGTTCCTGGCCCCGGCAGAGCTCACAAGACAGCTGTTTTCCTCTTCTTTTGTCATGTGGAAGTGGGACAGGGCTGGAGCTCCTGCAGGATGAAACATGAGTTATAGCATCTCTCCCACAAAGCGATCCCAGCCCTGCCTGGAGCGCAGGCCTAGGTGGAAAAAACTCCTGGATCTGGGGGAAAACACAAAGTCAGGGCGCTCAGGGAACATCGTATGCTGCGGAGCTCCCTCGCCAGCCTCCTCCCACGAGCAGCAGGTTGACTCCTGGGAGGCGTGGCAGCACAGGGAGGTCCCCATGCCTTTTCTATCCCTGTGTCCCGCAGAGCTGCCTCAGCAGGCAGCAGCTCCTGGCTGCCATCCGGCAGATGCAGCAGCTGCTCAAGGGGCAGGAGACGCGGTTCTCCGAGGGGCTGCGCGCTGTCAGGAGCCGCCTGAGCACCATCCACGCCTCCCTGGCCAAGGCCGCCCCTGAGCCGCCCGCCGGTGAGTCCCTGGGACAGCATTCCAGGGAAACTGCAGGTAAAAGGCGGCTTGGAATGATAGGGCCTCCTCCAAACTCATCCCTTTTCCATGGTCTCGCAGCCGCGTGTCCTGCCCTCCAAGCCCCTGCGGATGGGAGGAAGTTCGGCAGCAAGTATTTGGTGGATCACGAGGTTCACTTTGCCTGCGACCCAGGCTTCCAGCTCCTGGGCTCCAGCACACGGATATGCCAGGCCAACGGCAGCTGGACAGGGCAGGAGGCCCGCTGTGCAGGTACTGCTCATTGCCCGCCCTGGAATGTGCATTGGAAAAGTGGATTTGTATAAACATGGCGGGGATAACGGGGTGCTCAAAGTGGGGAGGGATCGCGGCTACCCCATAAAGTTCCAGGGATGGTTTTGGGATTTTTCTGTTTTAAGGAAAACTGGGAATTACAGCTGGAGCAGCTCAGCGGGAGAGATGAGGGGAAACAGTATCATGGCTATGACAGTGCCTGGTGTAGGGTACCAAAGCATCCCGGTGTGTGCAGCATTCCTGAGCCTTGCTTCCCAAAAGGAGATGACACGGAACGTGCCTGCTTTTCCCGCAGAGATCAGAGAGTGCTCGAGCAGCCCCTGCCAGAATGGTGGGACGTGCCTGGAGGGTCTCAACCACTTCAAATGCCTCTGTCCCCCGCAGTGGACCGGAACCACCTGCCAGTACCAGGCTCAGACTGGTGGGTGACCCTTGCTGGGGCATAAATGGGAATATTTCATCCCCCAGCTCATCCCAGCTCATCCCAGCTCCCCATCCCGCCGTTTTCCCGCAGCTCCTCCCACCTGGAGCGTGACGGACGACCCGGCCTTCAGCCGGCAGCCCCGCTGTGCCCAGATCGCCCAGACCCAGCAGTGCAGCTGCGATCCCGGCTTCCACATGAGCGGCACGGCTTCCAACGGGATCTGCCAGGGTGAGCCGGGACACGGCAGGGCTGCGGGGCCGCAGGGTCACGGAGTCACATCAGGAGGGAGCACAGTGGCTCGGCACCACCATCCCGGAGCACACAGCACGGGATTGTGCCCAGCTGGCTCTGGAATATCCCCAGTGATGGGCCGATGCTCCAAGCTCCTCCTGGAGGCTCCAAGGCCTCCATCCCATCCATGGATGGCTGAGCTCAGACCGGGCCCAGTGTCGCCCTCTGCGGGACACCGCTGGTCACAGCCCTCGAGCTGCGCTCCCATTCCCTGGAATCCGCCATCGGCCCCTTCCCAACCCGCATCATTCCTGCTCCTCCGGCCCTCGCTCGCTCCCTGGGTTTTCCCAGGAGGTTGGAGCGAGATCTCGGTGAATCCTTGTCCCCGCAGACCTCAACGAGTGCGAGGTGTACCGGCAGCAAGGGGGACCCCGGCTCTGTGCCCACGCCTGTGTCAACATTCCCGGCTCCTTCCGCTGCTCCTGCCCTGCTGGATACGTCCTGCTGGGCGACGGCAAGAGCTGCGAAGGTGAGGAGGCTGGAATCCACTCGGTCCCAAGTGCTCTGCCATTTTCCCTCGCTTTTTTCTCCATATCCGAGGGAAAGGCTGGTGTAGAGGGGAGGGGGATGATGGAGGGATGCTTTGCAGGATGGCAGCGGATGGAGGATGTTTGGATTGGCAGGAGCTCCAGCTGGATGAGGAGCTGGGTGGGGAAATGAATCCCAGGGTTGTGCTGGAGAAGGGAAAACTCCACCAGAGTTCTTCAAAAGAATCACTAAAAATGAAAATAAAATGCTTCTCTGGAAGTATGGCTGCTCCTCTCCCTCTCCTCCTCTCCCTCTCCCCCTCCTTTACCTCTCTGGATGATGGAGCCACACTTTGGGTCTGCACCTCCTTGAAGATGACCCCACTGTGGCTGTGGGGGATGTTCCTGGAGCAGGGAATTCCTGGGAAGAGCCAAAAGTAATGTTAAACCCTCCAGAATTCCATTATCAGTTCAGAGGGTGGCAGCATCTCTCCCTATCCAAGGAAATTGGGGTGCAAGTGGAAGGCAGCGGGTAGGAATGGTGGGAAGCCAAAACTGCTGAAAGCCTCCTGAAAAACAGGGAATTTTTTGTGTCCTGAAGTGTTGATTGCTGCAGTTCAGGGTGAGAAAATCCCTATTTCCCCATTCCTCCCTGGTTTTCCTGTGCTGCATGGCATCTCACTAATGCTCCCAGCAAATCCTCTGCATTCCAGCTCCTGCCAGGCGTCCCACGGGTGCTCAGTAAATAAAAAGGGATTGGTGTTTCCAAACAATCAAGCAGAAAGTTTGGAAAAGCAGCTGCCTTCCTGCTGGCAGAAGGCTGCTCTTAACCCATGCTGGCCTGGGGCAGAGTTTGGGGAGAGGGGATGGAATTCTGGGATGCTCCTGTATTTTTTGGGTCGTGTTTAACCTGTTTCAATGTGGTTTTGCCTATTTTCTGATGGAAAGGTGAGCTCAGTTGGAGGCTTCCAAGCCCTGACGCCGCTTCCCACCCCTGTTTTCCAGATATTGACGAGTGCTCCCTGTCCCAGGATAACTGCACAAGCGGGAGCACCTGCATCAACACCGGGGGGGGATTCCAGTGCGTCACCCCCCAGTGTCCCCCGGCCGCCGGAAACGTCTCCTACGTCAAAACCTCCCCCTTGTAAGTCTGGGGCACAAAACCCAAAACCTCCCCCTGTAAATGCGGGGCACAAAATCCAAAACCTTCCCCCTTGTAAGTGTGGGGCACAGAATCCAAAACTTCCCCTTTGTAAGTGCGGGGCACTAAATCCAAAACATTCCCCTTGTAAGTGCGGGGCACAAAATCCAAAACCAAAACCTCCCCCTTGTAAGTGTGGAGCACAAAATCCAAAACCTTCCCCTTGTAAGTGAGGAGCACAAAATCCAAAACCTCCCCCTTGTAAGTGTGGGGCACAAAATCCAAAACCTCCCCCTTGTAAGTGTGGAGCACAAAATCCAAAACCTCCCCCTTGTAAGTGCGGGGCACAAAACCCAAAACCTCCCCCCTTGTAAGTGCAGGGCACAGAATCTAAAACTTCCCCTTTGTAAGTGTGGGGCACTAAATCCAAAACATTCCCCTTGTAAGTGCGGGGCACAAAACCCAAAACCAAAACCTCCCCCTTGTAAGTGCAGGGCACAAAATCCAAAACTTCCCCCTTGTAAGTCCGGGGCACAAAATCCAAACCTCCCCCTTGTAAGTGTGGGGCACAAAACCTAAAACCTCCCCCTTGTAGAGTGCAGGGCACAGAATTCAAAACCTCCCCTTTGTAAGTGCAGGACACAAAATCCAAAACCTCCATCTTGTAGAGTGCAGGGCACAGAATCCAAAACCTCCCCTCTTGTAAGTGTGGGGCACAGAATCCAAAACCAAAACCTCCCCCTTGTAAGCGCGGGGCATAAAATCCATGCATGGCATCCTTATGGATCCACGGCAGGGCATCTCCATGGATCCAGGCATGGCATCCCTATGGATCCAAGGAGGTGGGGGGCACGGATGCCACATCCCCAAAAACCTCCCCTTGCTTTTCCTTCCGCAGCCAGTGCGAGCGCAACCCGTGCCCCATGGAGAGCCGCTCGTGCCACCAGGCGCCCAAAACCATCTCCTTCCACTACCTGCCCCTTCCCTCCGGGCTGCAGACGCCGGCGCCGCTGTTCCGCATGGCCACGGCGGCGGCGCCGGGCCGGCCGGGCCCCGACAGCCTGCGCTTCGGCATCGCGGGCGGCAATGAGCGCGGGCACTTCGTGGTGCAGCGCTCGGACCGGCACACCGGGGAGCTGCTGCTGCTGCAGAGCCTGCGCGGGCCCCGCACCGTCCACGTGGACGTGGACATGGCCGAGTACCTGGACAGGGCGTTCCAGGCCAAGCACCTGTCCAAAATCACCCTCTTTGTCTCGGCTTATGAGTTCTAGGGGTGGGTCCTGCTCCCTGCTCAGCATCGCGTGGATCGCGGGGAATGTCCGGGTTGGAGCTGCTCTGCAGATGTCCGGCCTTCCCCGCTCTGTCCCAAAGTTCTTCTTCCCATGTGGATTTACACCACCAAATGAGGTGGACAAGATCATCCTCATCCCAGCTCCAGAGAGGTGATGTCCTGCAACAGCAGATGGAAACCACAGCCGTGATTTCCTTTGAATTCCTGTTTTTTTCCTTTAGGAAGCAGTGAAGCCAAGTGTGTGGGAAGAGGGAGGCTCATGGCCTTTCCTGCTCCCCTCCCTTGTTGCACCCAGTCCTGCTCCCTAAAAACACACTTCCACTTCCCTCTGGATGCTGAGAATCCCCCTGGCAGCCTGTAGGGATTGAGACCTGGTGCCTCAATCCCCTGGGATTGATCAGGGCTGGAACACTCCATGAACACCCACCTGGGCATCCTCCTTGGCAAGTGGGGCAAAGGAGAAATTCCAGGGCTATCCCTGCTCCTTAAACCTCTCAAATGGGGATTCCCCATGGATCCTCTTCATAGCAGAGCTTCAGCCGCATATGGAGGTGGGAATTTTCCCTGCTCTATCAGTCAGAGCCTCCATCCTGGCATAGGAATGCTGGGAAGAGCTGGGATTCAGCTTTTCCCAGGGGGATTCACCCTCCTGCTTGTGCATGTTCTGCATGTTCCCTCATCCCACTGGATTTATACAATTAAAGGATGATGTAAAGGATGTCACCAGAGTGGAGCACCTGATGGATGTGTGGATGGGGGGAATTCTCACCCGGAGCAGTCCAAGTGGAATTGGGGTCTGGGAGTGCAAGAACCCATTATCCATGGTTTTATTTTCCTGCTTTGCTTTGTTTGGGAGGGGGCTGGCTGATAGCGGGGGGCTCATTCCCACCGGAGCATCCTTATCCCCGAGCATTTTCAGCCTGGAGCATCCTTCCCTCCAAAGATTCCTCACCCTGGGAATCCTCATCCCTGAGCATCCTTTCCCCTGGGAACCCTCCCTCCATTACATCCTGCTGAGCTGCACCCACTAAAACCATTCCCACTCCTTGTCCCAGGGAAAGAGACTTCCCAAGATGGGTCTGTCTCCTCTGGGGGATCGAGCTCCTGGATTTTTGGGGGGTACAGGAGCCTGGGAAGGGGTTGGATCTCTCCAGCAGAACAAGAAGGGACATTCAGGGCTGTTGTCGGCGGATGGAGGATGTTTGGATTGGCAGGAGCTCCGGCTGGACGTGGAGCTGGGCAGGGAAATGCATCCCAGCGCTGTGCTGGGGGAGGGAAGGGAAAACTCCAGAGTGCTTCAAAAATACCCCCAAAAATGGAGGAAATGTTTTTCTAGAAAATGCTTTTCTAGAAGCATGGCTGCTGCTTTCCCTGCCTGGCTGGATACGTTCCTCCAGCAGGCCATGACCCCGTTTTGGGATGATAACAAAATCTGGGAGCTGAACACCAGGAATTTGGGAGAGGACAAGCTCCTGACAGGGCAGAATAGTTTCCATCTGCTGCTTTCTCCGGATAACACAGCTGGAGACGGGCGCCTGGACCACGCTCCCGAGGCTTTTCCTTGCGGCACCATCCCAAACTGACAACATTTTCCTAATTCCCGAGGCCAGGGTGAGCTGGTTTCTCCCTTCCAGCCCTGGAAAAGTTTAAGTTCGGCTCTTTGCCTTTCTCAACCTCTGGCTGCCATTCCAGTTGACTAAAGAAGATTTTTTTCCCTATCCAGAGCAGCCGCTCTGGCATCCTTCAGACTTCCTGAGGCTGGAATTTGCAGAGAGAGGCTCTTCCGCTCTTGAAATACAACTTTCATTTGGGATAATAGTATTTGGGAGCTGAAAAAAATAGCAGGAATGCTTCTGCTTCCCTTTGGTGGGCACAGCTGGCCCCAGATGTGCTGTCCCAAAAATACAATTTCTCACCCCAGATTATTTAACCAAAAATTTAGGATTTTTCCTTCGAGTCCAGGTTTTCCTGGACTTTTTTTTTTCCTTGCCTGTGGCCTGGGGAGATGATGCTGAGTCCAGTGGGCATCAGCTCCAGGGCTCCACCTGTGCTGATGGGGCTAATTAGCCCTAAGTAACCCTAATGACGCTCCCCAGCCACCACAACCTCATTCCCTGTAGGAATGGTGTTTTCCAGCCTTTTCTTTGGATTTGCCTGATTTCCCTGATGATCAGCGTCCTGTTTGCCTTGCTCAGGTGTGTGAGGCCCAAGGGAAATGATTCTTCCCTGAAGGATCTGAGGCTCCTCCCGCCCGGAATCCCACGAGAATCCATGCGAGTGTTCTGCCTTGTTTTTGTAAAGTTTATTCGGTTGCTAGCACTGAAAAAAGCCGAGTCCCGTGTCCTGAAAAGCAGGCAGGGAGGCAGCTGGACAGGATACAAATGCAACTTTTCCCGGGAAGGTTTGATTAAACGTCATTGAATTGACTCTGACAAACACGTCTTCCCTTCGCCCACCGCATTTTTATTAAGTGACTGTCTTGGAACCGCTTTATCCCGGTTTTTGTCACGCCCTGACCCCGAGAGCGACTCCAGGCACCGCTTTTGTCTCGCCCTGGGGACACACGCTCTCTGTTTAATTACGAGCGTCACTAATTAATGACGCACCCGCCGGTTCCCCTCACACGCACCGGCCGCCAGGGGGCGCTGCCCGCAGTGAGTGAGGAGGGGAGGGGGGGCGGCGGTCATGACGCAGCGGCGGGAGGGGAGGCCCATTCCCGCTCCCGGTGCCCGTCCCGGTTCTCGGCAGGCGGAAGCCACCGCCCTTTTCCCCCTTTTCCTCCCTTTTCCCCCCTTTTTCCCCCACCATTCCCGAGGGGACGCCGCCACCACGTGACGGGCGCGGGGCACGTGACAGCACGCGCGGCGAGGCCCCGCCCCCTTCGCGCGCGCACGGCGGCGGCGGCGGCCGAGGGGAAGCGGAGGAGGGCGGGGCCCGCGCGTGACGTAGCTGCGGGGTTGACGGGCGTGGAGGAAAGCCAATGGGCGCTCGAGACGCGGCGGCGGCGGCCAATGGCGGCGCGCGGGGGGGGCGGGCCCAGGGCTGCGGCGGAGGAGGAGGAGGAGCGCGGCGGGCGGCGGCGGCGGCGTGAGGGGACGCGACGACATCGCGGCCCCGGCGGGCGCGGAAGACGCTGTGGCGGCGGCGGCGCGTGCGGGCCGCAGGCGCTGAGCGAGCGTGTGCGGGCAAAGCGCCGGGGGCCGCTGCCGCCGCTGCTGCTGCCGCCGTTCTCCTCCTCCTCCTTCTCTTCCCTCAGCCGCCGCCGCCATTTTGTGCGAGTGCCTCGCGCGGGCGCCATGTTTGTAAGGAAGAATTAGGGCCGCCATCTCCGGCCAGCAGCACCTCCCTCCCCCCGTGTGTGTGTCCTCCCGCTCTCCTGTGCCCCGGGGCTGCCGCTCGAGCCGCCGCCGCCGCCACCGCCTCCCCGCAGCGCCCGCGCGGGGCGGCCGGGCCCGGGCGCTGAGTGCCCGTTAGTGTCTCACTAAGTAACCGTGAGTGCAAACCTTCATCATCTCTCCTCACTGAGGGGCCCGGCCCTCCTCCTCCTCACCGAGCCGCCCCCAGCGCGGCCGTGCGCGCCGCCGCCGCCGCCTCCTCCCGCCGCTCCGCACCGCGGGCAGCGGCGGGGCCCTGCCTTCCTCCACCTCCCTCCTCCTCCTCCTCCTCACCACACCACAGCCAGGCACAATGGCCTTTGAAAGCCTGTTCTCCAAACCCCCAAACCCAGTTCTTGACCCAAACATGCCCGACTCTGACAGGCAACATGCAGGGGACGAAAGGTCGAGTAACATTCTTCTCTCTCTCCGCTTCTCATAATGGTGGTACTTAGTGGGGTGATGCTGGTAATGATGATGATGATGATGCTGATGATGATGATGCTCTGTTAATGTGCCTGAGGGGGTTAACGATGTTTTTGGGGGGCAGGTCACCTTCAGGCTGGAGCGGGGTGGTGGTGGTGGGGAATGCAAATTGGGGAGGGGGGGTGTCACTGCATTAAAAGTGCATTTTCTTAGCAAGGTTTTAATTTTTCCTTTTGGAATGCATGCGTTTTTACATCTTCATTGATTTATTCTGTCTGGGAAGGGGGGCTGTTTGCCATTCTTTCCATAAATTGCACTTTCCAGGGGGTGTCTGTTGAATGTCACCATTGTTCTCTGTCTCAGGCAGGAAAGGGTGCTCCGAGTTGGGCGGGTTTTTTATTTTTGGCTGTTTTTGTTGATACCACAATCTCTCACTAGAGCCATATTTAACGTCATTTTCTTGCCAGATTCCACCTTACACATTTAACTGGATCTTTTTTATGCAGATTAAGGGCTGACTGACGTTATCTTTGCCACCTCTCAATCCCCATGCGCAGAAACGCAGAGTCCTGTTCCTGGTGAAAGGACCTCTGTTGCTCCCTCCCTCCTTCCCTCCCTCCTTTTCTCTCCTGCAGCTGCTGGAAATTCAAATCCTTTCTCCAGGCAGCTCTGGCCTTCCTAACTAGTTCCAAAAATACTGTGCCAGGGTGGCAGTTACCAGTGCCTGAGCCTACACCTACCCTGAGCGTTCCTGACAAAGCTGCAGGAGTTAAAAACGCCGAGGTTTTGGCATTGCCAGAGCTTGGCCTCCCCCCACACAGCTCCACAGCGGTTTGTGGTACTTCAGAGGACCAAGAAACACTGGGGAAAAAAACAAATAGACAAAAACAAACAAACAAAAAAAAGGCTTGTGAGTAAATGCAAAACTGTTTCCTTGTTGGAGAAAAGAATCCCGAGTTCTGTGTTGTAAATTGGGAGGTGGTCCCAAAATGCTCCTCGGGTTTAGTGCAGGGGTCAGGGCAGAGCCCAGAGCTGCTGGTTCTTGTTTTCCCCTTTCTGCTTGTCCTTGGGAAATGCTCCTGGGATTGAGTGCAAGGGTCAGGGCAGAGCCCAGAGCTGCTGGTGCTTGTGTTGCTGTTCCACTTCCTGCTTGTCCTCGGGAAGTGATCCCTGAAATGGGCCTGGGCTTCAGTGGAGTCCAAGGCAGAGCCCAGAGCTCCCGGCCCTTGTTTTCCCCTCCCTGCTTGTCCTTGGCCAAGGGTGGAAGTTGTGTCGCGCTCTGTTTTCCGAGCTGAGCGCACACCAGGAGTCCATTGGGATCTCTGGAGCTGGGGCAGAGCTGTGCTGTGGAGTTCCTGCAATCAGGCTGTGACTTTTCACTGTTTCAGGGATTGAAAATATCTGGAGTTCTCAAATCCTTGAGGACAAGCCCGAGTGACTCCGGGTAGTGCTGGGAGCAGAGTTTTACCAGCTTGGAGTTCTCATCCTCTCACCTGCTGTTCCCACCAGTACAACCAGTTGTGACACTGGTAATTGTGAAATAGAGCCAATAAGTGCCACCTAACAATCTAATGAATTGTAATTTACAAGTGTTGCTTTATAATGTTTTAATTAATGAGGTGAAGAGCAACAACACACACGACCTGGGAGATCATAACTTGTACTTTTTCTAAAACTTTACCTCTGTAAAATAAGTTCATTCACTTCAAAAAAGGCCCAACTCCAAAGTTTTTGTGTTACATCAGGTGTGCAAATGTAGGACCAGTAAAACCAGTTCACTGCAAGGAACACCCATACTGGCAACCTCATGATTCCCAATCAATTTGTGCAGCAGGAATTCTGTTAATAGTTTGATTTGAGCTGCTCTGTTGAATGATAAAGAAATTACTTAGTAAAAAATAATTTAAAAACCCCTGTC